TGCACTCACTCCAGATACTATGTTATGAGGGGCTGGCAACAACAGGTTATTTGTGCTTCCCACTGAGGTCTCAGTGAAATCTCTAAAGTCTTAATTTGCACTATTGTAGTCACTGTCCAAGGCTGCATTAATGCATCTAGAGGGGAGGGGTGCCCAGACCTGGGCCTCTCATTCAGTTTCTATAGGGCTTCTGCTAACCCTGCTGTCCACCCCTGCAGGGTGTGCTGTTCCATCTTCAAGGCCTCCTTAAGCATTCCATTGTATCTTTCAATGAGACCTGCTCCAATTGGGTTATCAGGAAGACGAAACTTCCAAGTGGTGTTATGGGCATCAGCCTATTGTTGTACCTGTTGTCCAGTGAAATGGGTGTCTTAAGCAATCTTAATAACTTCAGGGATCCCATAGGCAGCCATGAGCTGTGCCACTCCTCTGACTTTTGTTCTCTGGGTGGCTTGTTTGCTGGGGTAAGCTTGCATAGTACCTATACGGGTATCTATACAGGTTAATGCATAATGAGACCCTTCTTAAGGGGAGAGGCCCTATATAGTCTATTTGCCAACAACTCAAGGGTACATCTCCCCTACGCACCTGTCCCATCCCTTGTGGAACCTTACATGGATGTCGTTCTGCACAGACAGGACAGTTCTGACAAGCAATCACAATGTCAGCATACTGTATCAGTAGCCCCCAGGCTTTGACCACTTCCCATAGTGTCTTTTTTACAGCATGCTTCATTTTCTTCTGTAATCACACAGCCACATCTTTAGTAGAGGCTTCTTCCAGCCATCTCACATGAACCAAGTCATTGCCCTCATCATTGCCCAGGCTGTCCAATGGGTTGTGCCCAGACACTGATTTATGTTGGCTGATAGCATATATATCTTGCCACATGTCCTGACCCTAAAGGGGCTTATTCATGATCAGTCAGTCCTGTTTTTTCCACTGGGGCAGCCACAACATGAGCCCCTTAAAAACTGCCCAACTGTCTGTGTAGTTACTGGGCCTTTCTCATTGGCCATCACCATCCATACTGCCTGCAGTTCAGCCCATTGGCTGCTTTGCCTGGTGCCGTCATCCATCTAGATGGTATCAGTTGACGGTTGGTATGCAGTTGAGGGGGGTGCCTCTGACAGGAGCTATCGGTATACCAAAACCCTTCTGACACTGGTGGCACACCTTCCTTAATGGGTGAGGGAGTCCATACTGTGGGTTCAACATGCACATTGTTTGAGTCCACAAATGTGACAGGTCTCAATAACTGCTGTAGTTCATGGCTCAGGGGATTTGTGGATAACTTAATGCATTGTTGCAAGTAGTCATGCCACTTGGTCACTGTAGTCATCTGATCACTGGATTGTGGGGTTGCATGGAGTTGTCATGAATCCATCCAGCAATTGGCAGTGCAGTCCTCACTGTCATAGCTACCTGTCCAGTGACCGGATCTGTGGCTAGCAATAAACAGTGTTTACTTGTTGTTCTATGGGGCTACATCAGGCCTCTGCTCCTTTCCATGTCTGGGACCAAAACCCTATGGGGAAGTGAGTTTTCCCCTGTCATTGCCTTAACCCCCAGGCACAGCCCTCCTGGGAAATATTTAGAGTCAATTGACAGGGTAGTACTGGATTTAGAGTGCCCAATGCTTGCATGTCCCCTACTGCTGCTTTTGCAGAACAGGAAGTGACTTGGCACTCAGAAGTCCAATCCCATTGAGCTCCCTTTTTTACTAACTTGTATAGGGGCCTCACTATTTGAGCTAAGCGGGGAATAAACACACTCCTGTATCCTAAGATCCCAGAAATTCCTGTAAGTGTTTAACAGTGGTTGGCCTACAGTATACCTGAATCTTATTTATTACCATGGAGATCATTACTTTTGTCTTACCCAACCAAATAACACCCAAGAATTTGACAGATAATCCAGGTCCTTGGACCTTATTTTGGTTTATAGCCCATCCCTTCCTCTGTAAGTGAGCGATAAGGGATGGTGTAGCCTCCTCCAAATCTGTAAGAGAATCAGAGCTTAACATAATGTAATCAATTTAATGGAATAGTCTTACTGATGGAGGAGTTGTCCATTTTTCCAGGTCTTCTACAATCATTCTTTGGCAGATGGTAGGGGTTATGCAGGTAGCCCATTGGCAAAACCATGGATGTCCATTGGCGTCCTTCCCACGTGAAAGCAAACTGGCCTTGATTATCTGGATGGATATCAATACTAAAGAAAGCATTAGCTAAGTCTAATACAGCATATATTCCCAATTGAGTTCCTAATTTATCCATAATATCAGAAATATTAGGTGCAGCTGCATGTAAAGGGGGAATTACCTTATTTAGTTCGTTATAGTCCACTGTCGTTCTCTGGGTGCCATTTGGTTTACTGACAGGCCACACAGGGGAGTTATATGGACTATGGGCTGGGCATATTATATTCACCTTGGCTAATTCCAGTATAGTTTCCCCAATTCCCTCGTGACTTCCTGGCAACCAATATTGCTCAGTTGCCACTATTCACCAGGTGGCAGCAGTTGCACAGGGGGTGCTGTGCTTTACCTCCCTGTACCTCTTTCACAATCCTACTTTGTAAGTGAAACTCCCCCACACTAGTATGCAAACACAAACCTTGCAGTATAGCAATCCTAAGTATGTATTCCCTCATCAGGGAGGTATATACAGCATGTTCCTTTGGGGTGGGGGGAGCTGACCAATCCTTAAAGTTAGCTTCACCTTTCTTACCCATCCATAGCAGTATTTGGCCCCTTGAATTCTGATGGCTTTCCATATATCAATGTACATTCAGATCCTATATCTATTAGGGCAATTACCCTTTGGATGTTCTGCAGAAACTGGTATATAATGAATTCAATGTGGGATCTCTGGTCAACAAAGACAGCTCGAATTTCCTCTGTCCCTTGGCCCCACCCCTAGGCTTGGGACTAAAGGAACATGAAATCTGTCTCATCTTCCTCTGGAGGATCACTCGGCTCTACTTGAGGTGAGCTAAAGAGGCACCCCATAGAAGGCGACTTCATGAATTCCTTCAGCTTTGGCTCTGCCTGCACTCCCCCTGAAGGAGTGCATCCACTTATCAGCCTAGTCTCCAGCTACTTTTCTGGCAGGTGCTGGAACTGTTTCTCTTTGGGCAACTGTTGCCACAACTTAAGTAATGTTGCATTCAGCTGTTTATCTGTTTTTGGAGATTGACCCCTGCCTTAGTTAGGTCCACCCACAGCTGTTTTCTAGTAACTTTCACTGGTTCTTTCTGATCTTCCTTTTCCCCTCTTTCCCCTATTATTGCTGCTTCCGTTACCTTGTAAATTCTTTTTCTGTATAATCAGAACTACTTACTTGACCTCTTCTTGTCACATTTTTGTGGTTTTTCAAAGCTCCCCTTACCTTCATGTCTGTGCATCTCACACCTGCAATTGTCCAGATAAGAGCATTGCTATGTTAGCTGACATGGAATGGTGCCCCTGTTAGCCTGTGCTTCTCTGCAATCTACCCCTAAGACTATGCTATGGGTGAAATGTGTCACCCAAAAGTTTATGTGTTGGAAACTTAATCCCCATAGCAAAAGTGCTTAGAGGGAGGGAGGGAACCTATTATGGCAATTGAAAGGTGGGGTCTTTTAAGAGGTGATTAGATTGTGAGGACCATACCCTAGTGAACGGATTGATCTGTTCATGGAATAATGGGTCGATGGTTTAAGGATTGGTTATGGGCATGGTTCTGACGGCTTTATAATGATAGTGAGTAAGCAGGTTAGCTCTCTTGCTCAGCTTATTCTCACCATGTGATACCCTGCTTTGCTGTGGAGAGTCACCACTAAGAAAAAGGCCTCCACCAGATGTCTTTGCTGTACTTTGGACTTCGTAGCCTCCAAAACTCTAAGAAATAAATTTTATTTCTTTATAAATTACCCACTTTCAGGTATTCTGTTATAAGCAACAGAAATGGACTAATGCAGACTGCCTCTTGGTTTTTGGTGTCCATTGAATCTGTAGAAATCATTGAGTAGTACAGACAGTTTAACAATATTAATTCTTAGAATCCATGAACATGAGATATCTTTCCATTTATTTGTGTCTTCTTCATTTTTATTTATCAGTGTTTTACAGTTTCCAATGTATAAAGTTTTCCTCTCCTTGGTTAAATATATCCCTAAATATTTCATTATTTTTTCTAGCTATTGTAAATGGGATTGTTTCTTAATATCTTTTCGGATAGTTTGTTGTTAGTACACAGAAATGCTACTGATTTTTTTATGTTGATTTTGTATCCTGTAACTTTAGTGAATTTATTAGTTCTAACAGTTATTTTGGTATAATCTTTAGAGTTTTCTATGTATAAGGTTATGTCCTCTGAAAATAGAGACATGTTTACTTCTTCATTTCCTATTTGGATGCCTTTTATTTCTTTTTCTTGCCTAATTGA